TGTCTCCAGTCCTTACACATTCAGCCATGAATTCTGTCCATACAATTTCCTGACAGGACCAGTTACCTTCACGTGAAGGCACACAATCTGGCATTCTGGGCAGGAAGAACAGGATGGAGAACATTTCTAAGATGGCTCTTACGCTTGCCTTACAATGATGTTCATGGCCAACTCGGAAGGCCACAGGACTATTTGAGTAATGGTTTTTGTTTTGCATCAATTTATAGGAAGAATTGTGTTTCAGCACAGCTGTTACAACATCTTTGTTTCATTAACTGCTTAAGATAGCAAGAACTATAGGAGTGTTTTTATTACACCGAAGCAGAGAACTTCCACAGAAGTTTAGGACAGCAGGGAGGGCTGTCCAGAGCTGCTGCCAACTGGCCTGGAGGAGCCTTTTTCCTGTGCAGTAAACAATTTCAGATTGATGGCCTGGTTTCACCCAGTGCACCAAGTGCAGCACAAACAGCACTAAGGCAAGCAAGCAAACCACATTCCCAGTCTTCTCGTCTCAGTGCAGTAATTACATATTAATAAATGGTATGTGCATAAACTGCTCCACCCACCACAATCTGCCTTCTACCCTGCCTGGCATGGAGCTGATAAAACCCAGCTTTTTTTTTATTTTTAGGACAGAAAACTTGATGCTAAGCTATCCAAGAGTGATGAGGAAGTCTCTCCTCCTCCCCCAGCTCCTGTCTAAAGCACTCTCAGAGCTGTAGCTACAATCAGTGGACTTTTCAACAGCAGGGAAAGTATCTGCTTGACAAGGCAAGCCCTTCCACCTCAAGATGCACACCTACTGAGGGCAGCTTTTGTGCTCACTTTGAGTAAACAGCCAGCTCCAGCTGCAGCTCAGTTCGCCAGGAGCCGTGGCGGTTCAGGAAACACGGCTGAGTCACAGACAGAGCCTGCTTCACCATCTGCCCCAACCGCTCAGAGACCCGGGGCTGCAAAGGAGGGAGGAGGCAAAAAAAAAAAAAAAAAAAAATCCCATTCATCTCCAGAAGAATCCTACTCACTGGATAGCAGCTTCTGTGAGCAGCTCTTATTTTTAAATTTTTTAAAAACCCAGCTGCTTGGCATGGCAGAAGTCTCCAGACGAGCTGATGGGGAACAGGTTGCAGTGTGAGCAATGCTCTACCCATCCTGACCCCCCCTACACACCATCACCCCCAGCAGGGACACCCTCGCACACCAGTTGTCTCCCTCACTTGCTCAGGGTGCTGTGGCCTCCTTCTCCTCCCGTTCTTTCAGGAAAGGATGTGACTGGGGAAAATGCTGGTACTTGGCCAAAGGCCCAAACAAGTCTAAAAACAAAAGCACAGATCTGTTTTCAGGCCTGGGCTGTCTCTGGGCTCCAGCGAGCCAGCAGCTATATTCGTTGCAGGGAAAACCTGATGAATTCCAGCTCTGGCTCTCCCTGGTGGGAGACTGGATGGATCTGACAGTTGTTTCCCCTCCCTGCTCCTCGAAAGAAAACAGCACTTGGGTCTTTCTCCAAGGTCTTCCTTTGCTATGCACACTGACTATTTTTCTCAACCCTGAAAAAGCCTCCAAATTTCTGAGCCCACATCCTGCTAAATGGAGCAAAAATACATCCGCTGGACACTTCAGTTCAACCCACACCCAGCCTGAGTATTACCCATGTTGCCACAAGCCGCCCTGCATGCTCTCCCAATGGAAAGGTGGCTTGAATCCAGCTGGGGATGGGATAGGAAAAGCAGTGAATGCCCCAGCTCCCATCAACAGAAGGCTGCCTGGGAAAGAATGGGTTATTAAAACAGGAGGAGAGCAGATGCTTTCAGATGTTACTGTTTTAACTAAATCTCATTTCATTACCTGTGTCCAGCTTGGACAGCACAGTGAGAGAAATGCAAAAACCTAACACGGGAGTTTTCAGTGAAATCTGCATCCTTTAGAGCTGCGGTAGCTCACTTTGAGTGGAGAAGACCTGATTCACTACAACTCTCTTGGACCCTCAGGATGCAGCAAGGTATCTATAAGCAAAATGAGGTGGAACAACGTAAGCAGTTACTGTCCCCCCAGCTGGTGATAACTGACCTTCTAGTGGAAAGAGCTAAGTGACAGCCAAGGTAGCTCAAAACCCTGGGGAAAGTGATCTCAGCTGACCTGGCTAACACTGCCTGAATATGCATTAGGGAGCGCTCACAGGTACCTCCCGGCAACACGGTCTTAATACACAGGAGGGCAAAAAGGGGGAAACGGGCGATCATATCTTAAACCACACTGGCTCTTCCCCAAGTAATACAACATGCCCCTAGAGAAAAGGGGCATGAGACATCAAAAGTTTGGGGCTGCAGCTAAAGAATTAACAACTGAAGGAACAGCACAAAACACCATTTCAGAGCCACCATAAATGGCACGTTTGGAGTTAACACCCAGGTAGCAACCTACAAAGGAATCCCTCATCCTGAGGGGCAGCTTGGACATGCCTCTTCTTCCCATCCAGCTTCAGAACAAGGCTGGTGTTGACAGGCAGGACTGCCAGAGCTACTAAACCCTTCTACCAATCCCTGCTGTAGCCCTGCTGCTGCTTGTCTGTCATGACCCACATTAAAGACACCATCTTCTCTGCGCGGCCCACGCTCGACAGTTAAGTCTGCAGCATTCACTCTGCTCATTAGCATGTGCGAAAAACTACATTCCCAAGCACCAGTGAGTTCGTAACTTGAGTCTGCAAAACTCTGCAGACCCAAAGGAGCATTAGAGACAGCTTAATACCCCCTCTAAATACCAAGCAGTACTGGCTTCCTTAATTGATATAAACTAATCGGTGCTTCGCCCCAACTCCTGCAGAACAGTGAGTGTTTAACTCTAATGTTTTACTATTCTTCCCTCAACACAACATCAGGAGGGAAAGAACAGTTTACCCAGAGCAGCTATTTTACTGAGGAAGGCAAATCACAATCTCTGAAACACCAGCAGAATGTGTACTAGAGAGGGTGATGGTGGTTAAAAGGTTTCACTGTACAGGGAGGGAATTAGTATGGAAACCCTCGGCATTTTTCACTGGGAAGGGCTGTGGATCTGAATGCAGCTCATCTGGACCAAGACAAAGCTTTTTGCCACTCCAGAGCTTATTTAAACCTGCTTTTGGGAGCCCTCACCACGATATAGGAGTACTTCCTCCTAAGAGAGGAGCAATCCATAAAAAGCAGGGTGAGCGTTCCCCCGCTGCAGAGACCCTCCTTTTTGCACCCAATCAGGACAATTTTCTAACTCAAAGCACTTCCCAAGGAGACCAACACACCTCACTGCCTGCCCTACTGACATTCTCACTCTAATGCGTCAGAATACTCCACTAACACACAACAGAAAGAACCGACTAACTGGCACCCTCCGTACTGTCCCAAGGTCCACCCCAAAATAATTTGCTTAAAGCAACGTCACACTCCATGCAGCATCTTGTGTGTGCTTAGTGCAGGAAGCATCAACCAGCAGGAGGTACGTACGGCAGGTGTAAACATCTCTGTACTCCATGTGCTCGTAGTCGGGAAGGATTTTCATAAAACGCCCCGACTTCACTCGTGGGTTTATACCTGAACAGACACAGCAGGGTAAGTACCAGCAAACTCTGCTCCACTGTAACCAGCACGTAACAGTACGATGAACGTGGACTAACCACGCAGGAAAGTCAAAACTCTCTTTCGACTTTACTTCCAGTTGTGGTGCACCATTCGTTTCCATCAGCCCCAGTCTCGGGTACGCTCGGTGAGCAGAATTACTCACACAGAACTTGGCACGTTCAAGATTCCCACAGACAATATTTACAAATGGCATCCAGTGAATTCAAAGCGGAATCAGGTTCCTCCTCAAACTCTGTAATGCGCCTGTAACGAGCACCGCTGTCTCAGTAAGACCACACGGACGGTAGCTCAGGCCTCGGATTGGTTATGCTTTCTAGCGCTTAGGCTCAGTTCCCCACTTCTCCCACTACTTCGTACAAAAGCACATTCAGTGGACAGAAAAGTGCATGTGAGTCCTGCCAGTAGCCCCAAATTAACTCTTCTGCAATTGAAGAGGTTCATGGGACAGGCGAGAAAATGGGGTCACGCTACCAGGAAACTGTTGCGCTAAGTGTCTGTACCAGGGCAAACTGCTGAATCTGAGCAGGAGAGCTGAGATGGTACACCCCTGAAAACCAGGAACAGCCGTGGAACATTCTGACTTTAGAGCAACTATTGCTCGTTAGGACTGCTGAATGGATACAGACACAGTCCTTATTCAGAAATACAATAAAGTCTATCACAGAGGTGGTTCTCACACGGCAAGTGCGACTCTTTGCCAATGGATGCTGTGGATGCACCTCCTTCGGTGCAAAGGAAGACTGGAAACATACATACAAGACAGATCTATTGAGGGCTATTACATCAACAAACTGCATTAGACTCTGGAAATCCCCCAACATGAAAACAGCCCGAAGCTGGGAGAGTACTTAGGAAAGTATCATACAGGCTTGCCCTCTTCTTGGTCTTTCCTGGGCGACAGCCACAGCTGTGAGATACACTACTGGGCTGGAGAGAAACCATTGTTCTGAGCCAGTAAGGCCATTTTTACATAGAACTTGCATACAAAAAACTACTAAATACCACTTTAATAGATCTGAACCATGGAATTACTGTAGTGAAAAAGACTACAGGGCATGAAGAGATGTTCAGCCATTTAAGACTGGCAATGCAGAATTAAGATCTGATATGGTATGTGTTGTATGGCTGCTACCACACCAGTGTCGTACAGAGATACTGGACTGAATGGGAAGTAAGAGAGGCCTCAAGTGCTAACGAGACTTCTCTGTGGACATCTAAGTGCTGGCCTAGCATCACTCAGGCCTCCTACCAAGGAAAATTAGGCAGTTCCAGTCCTAGTGCACAAATAGGTAGAGAGGGACACTAGGTGATTAAATAATTTTCCTGTGGATGCTCAGCAAGTCTACTGAAGATGGGATTAAGATCGATACTTGAGGTCATCACTGCTTCAAGGTTCAGCAAATATAGTACATGTAGAAGCTGATGCAGATTTTGGGTCTGCAAAGCCTGCAGAGACCTCTCACGATTGACCTCTCCGCTTTTGTTTCATAAAGCAGGACCTTCTTTGAACAGCCACAAGCCATAGTTCAAGGGCTGCGGGCTTTTTCATCCTAAGGACCACAGATCCTTACAGAATTTGTGATGAGGAACTGAAACAACAACGCCTGGCAGTGCTGCTATGGGAGCTCTCAGGGGCTTCGCAAGGTGCTCTGAGCAACCAGTGCAGCTTCTGACTGCAAAGGCCAAGATTTGGTGACAGGCAAGACAGCTTCACCATGGACCCAGGCCTCCATTCAGCCCTTAGCCTGCCTGGGTTTCTCTCATCCAGTGATGCCCCCACCTCCTCCCTCGTGTAAGACAGAGGATGTGTATCTACCTTGCAGAAGGCACAGTGGGTCTAAGGGGTTGGGGTCCCACTCCCATGGACATTCCCAAAATGCAATGGCACCTCGGCAGAGGTGCAGCCCTGCCAGGCTCTCCTCCTTCAGGAGCAGCCCAGAGGAAGGCTCATGCCTTTACCCACAGCATCTTCCCACCGGCAGCGTATACCAGCGTCCTTTCACTGAGATCGTGACTTAGCTACATTAGGGCTATGCAAAAATGTCAATTCCTTAGCAAGATATGAAAACGGCAAAACAGGAAAGGACGAAAAACCCCCAACAGACTTTATTATAAAGTTAAATTACATGCTCTTTTCCCACCAAAGGATTGGGGAGCACAGACATCCCAATTCTTGGCATCTGCTTAGTATTAAATGAAACTCCAAACATGTCAACTGCACAGATGTAACCTCTGCCATTAGCAAGTAAGTCTGAATAACTTATGCCGTCAAAGTTTAATAAATATTCAACATGTATACGCTTTCAAATTTGGTACTAAGCAAGGACATACAGATCTGTATCAGCTTTACCACTTACGTTTGGCGTAAACATCTCGACAGGACACTCCTGTGATCTCCAATTTCCGCAAGTTTTCACAGACGCCATATTCTGCAATGACACAGATAATAATGTCAGCTCTGGCACAAAGGTGTTTGCTACCCAGGATCTTGCTATCTACTGTTTGAGCAAAAATAAGATCTTATTAGGTGCGTTCTTGCAAGCTGCCACATTAGTCCAAGAATCCTATTTCTGCTTTGAAGAGAAAACAGAAAACTAGATGTAATTTCATTGCAGTCTGGGAATCTAACACATTTTACAAGCAATGCCTGCAACGAACACACCATAAGGTACACACAAACACAGCAAAGTTACAGATG